TGAGAGTGAGTCCTTTGAAAGATGATTCAGGCTATTACAGAAGCGACTGAAGGAAGGCAGTGTCTATCATTTTGCATCATGCAAAACAAGCACAGTCGTATGTAACAACATGGCCAAATGTGGTGTAGAGACAGGAGAAGATGATCGTGCAAAGTGCTCGTGGGTGAAGAACCCAGTTCACTGAAAGTTCTGTGGTCTGAAAAGTATTTGCAGACTATTCAGTGTTTGTTGGAACAATCCAGTCAGTACTTCTTGGAAAAATAGCCAGTGCTTGCCCATGAAACTTGAAATCCAAATCCATGTGACCCAAAAAGTGCTCCAGTGGACATGCAGTCAGAATTGATCAACTTACAAGAAAGTACATCAGCAAGGGCATTTTACTGTGAACTTAGTCTGGTTGAGTTTGTACAAAAGAGTCTCCCCAAAACCTACCCTGCGATATGCAAATATAGGCAACACACGGCCTCCTTCTTTGGAAGCGTGTACATGAGAGCCTTCTCTACAATGAATAAAAGCAGTTTTAAATTAAGATCCAGGCCAATGGATGGTCACCTTCATGCAGTTCTCTGCATTGCAATGTCAGGCATTCTACCAAGATGGCAAAACATGGCATCTAAGAGAAGTCAACTACATAAATCTCATTCAGCAAAAAATTTAGGTATGGGGCTTCCACTTTTTTTTCCAGTATAATGTATTTATGTTGGAGAGTGCCTTTCTATAATGCTTTTTTATTTGATTTCATTTTTTAATCCTTGGCAAACTAGTTACAGTTGTTGAACTTAAAATCTGGTAAATCTTTAAGTGTGTAATAGTTCTTGTTTTGTTTTTTAAGGAAAGTTTAAAAAAAAAATAAAGTTTAAAATAATCTTCTGTTCTGTTTTTATCTGAATTGCAATATATTATAAGGAACTGTCTGTATGTGGCTTGCCGCCCAGGGCTGCATCTTTGCAATTACTCTTCAAGGGTGAAACTTTGAGACCCTATCTAATGGAATTCCTAACCTCTAAGAACAAAGCAATGCTTGGAGAGTTTCATGCCAAAGAATGGATCTCAAGAAGCAGCTCACTGAGTGGGCAGATAGCATGAATCTTCAGTTAAAATGCTACCTGTAGATGCTTGCTAGCTTTTTTTTTTTTTTTTTTTTTGCTCTAAGTATGCGTGTTTTTCTGCAACTCGCCTGTCACTAGCAGTTAGAACTGATCCTAGCCTTTCTACCAAAATGCAAATGAGATTTAAAGCTTCATTTTAAGCTTTATGTCAACCAGTTTTTGGTTTTGGTGTAACAGGGCAGAGGGGTTTGAATGCGTGTTCATTCCTAAAACCCCTCAAGTGAGCTTTCTGTGTGTGTCATACTTGGGCTTTGATGGGAGGCATTTGATGCTCCTTTTGAACTTACACTAACCTTCGGTTTCTTCCTTATCCACGAGGAAGGTGTTTTCAGTTATTTTTTTTCCTTTTTTACTGGGAGGGGGAAGGGTAAGATTTTGGAGGTGAGGTAGAATAGTAATATGCTAGTCAAAGGATAAATGTTCTGGCAATTCCTAAAACCAACAAACAGAACAGATGGATATATACAACCTTTAATCAGGGTTTGGTCATCTCCAGTAATGGATGCATCTAAAGTGTGACTTGCATGGTATCAGTCTGGAACACATTGTCCCCTTTTTTTGTTTTGTAAGACGGGGAGAATGGCTAAACCAGGGGAAGCAGTGGCAAGGCAATTCTTGAGGGCTTGCTTGGTCTTACAAAAGAAGTTGAATTAACTTGTTGAATCTCTTCTTTGGCAGAAGCAAATCTTTGCACAGCCACTTTGGCATATTTGGTCTGTGCTAAATAGAACTCTCTTGCTCTGACTGATGCCAGTCAGTTTTCAGCCCCTTTACACGTATAGATATTACTGTTGCTTGAGCATCTTTGAATTCAAGATCATGACTAATTTTTTACCTGGGAAACTAGAGTTGAATTATTTTGGCCTATGGATGTGACTCCTTGTATGAAAAGTCTCCAGCACGTAAATGGGTATTTAGATTCTACCAATCTGAGAAAGTTGAGCTGTGTAACTCTGAATTGCTTTCAGTATTTGTCAGAGTTCTTTGTGGCTCATGAACAAGTGCCAAAGCCTTTTCTACCCATGAGTTAGGCACCAGTCAACACTGTTACACCAGCAAAATATCTAGTTTGGACATAACTACTTGCTGACATGTTGCCTTTCCACCAGGGGGCTCTGCTAACATAACTGTAGTGGCAGAGGTTCTTCTGGTCCCTGCTTTTTCATTTTAACAGAGACTGAATGCCCACAGCTCTAGTTGTAATTGTCAGGATCCCCTTTCCCCCCCCCCCCCCCTTTTTTTTTTGTAAGGCTCAACATCAAAGCAGCTGAACAGGAGCAAACTTGAATTGCATCACATTACATTCTATGTGAAGCTTAAGGAAGTAAAATGTAGGAGAAACTTTTTTTTTATTCTCTAAGGTTGAGACTTCCCATGCACATGCGAGCAAATCTATCCAGCTGCTGGACAAAAGCTTGCCATGAATTACCTTGTTAAACCGACAAAATTAGCCACATGATACCGCATACAAGGGACAGATAATATACTTGCAGTGTGTTTATTTCTATGTATATTTAGCAATTGTAAAACAAAAGTTACATATGAAGTTAGGACACATAATAAGGTATATGCTGTGCAGGGTATTGAAGGCAGTTGGGAGTGAGAGAGCTTTGTAAAACCTTAATTCTTAATTATCTGACTCTGTCTAGGCTAAATTATAAAGAACTTGCTAAAACAAGCACCTGAAAGCCTAATATTTAATTAAAATATGTGAATAAAGTTGAATTAGAGATGAAGAAAATTAAGGTGATTCATATAACATCAGAACTAGTTCATATTCTAGTGTTACTTTTATGTAATGACAAGAATAGAGAGAAACCTTGTGAAAACTTTAATTTACTCAGTCCATATCTGTTGCATATGTTTCATGCCTTTGTTCTATCAATGTTTGTCTTTCAAGAATGCCTGGACTTTACTATAAGAATAAGTGCAGTTGGTTGATAATTGTAGCAGTGTAGTGTGGCCTAGGAACACCCCTGTGGATCTGTCTAGATTTAGATGCGTATGTATACATATGCTAGATAATCACCTAGCCAGGGGCATTTGACCCCAGCATTCTTTCCTGCCACTGGCTGGGGGTCAGACTTAATGATCTGCTCAGGTCCCTTCTGACCCTACCAACTATGAAACTATGCATATGCATTTGTTTTTAAATAGGTGCGTATATATAAATGTCATAAATTACCATCATAAAAACATATACCTGGAACCTCCTTGTGACTCTAGAATAGCTTTGTGATGGTAAGCTGATACTCTACACCAGGCAGGTAGGGAATAATTTCTTACCTGTGACAATTTAAAATGAATCACGATTTTTTACAAGTGGCCATAAGCAGTGTCTTATTAACACTACCTGTAATTTCCATTGAACATCGTGTTATCAACAGGGATCTGGGTGTTCTGTTTCCCATGTTGTGGGGGGGAGGGACCCCAGAGTTTCCCTTGTAAGCAAGAAAAATGCAGATTTTGCAGTTTTGCAAAGACTTCTCTGCAGGCTGGGGGAAGCAGGAGAAGGGTGATCAGGCAGGGGGCATCATGTGCATGTGTGCACTTACACATGCACATGGCTGCCAAGCAGCTTGGACAGCAGCTCCTGCAGGTAAGTCTGGTGGGGGGCAGGGGCTGAGGCTGCACATGGGGCTTGTGGCCCAGGGCTGAAGTGTGTGGATGCAGGAAGGAGCTGCGGGGGGGGCAGGGGGCTCCCCACCACTGTGCACTCCCAGGGTGCATGTGGGAGGCACGTGCCCCCCAGATCTGTGTGTGGGGCAGGGCTCCCTGCCCTCCCCACCAGTCCTCTGCCTAGCAGGGACCCAGCATAGCTGGGCAGAGTGGGGCCAGGCAGGGAAGGTCAATGCCATCCTGGCAAGCCACCCTGGCAAACCACCCCAGCCTGCCCAGCAGCAGTGGCGGCGGCAGTACCAAGTTGTGCTCCTCACTGCTGCCAGGTGGGCAGGGGGCACCTTGCTATGGTAGTGTGGAGCTCCCAGCAGCGACAGCAAGCTTCCACACCTGGCTCTGTTATGCCCTGCCACACTGGGTCCTGTCTTTTGGGCTGTAGAGGTCTCAGGGGGTGGGTAGCAGGGTGTGGAGCCTGAGCCCACAGCAGGCAGCCTGCACACATCTCCCTATCATGGGCTGTGTTCCAGCTATGCTGCTCATGGTGGGAAGGGAAGCTGGGCCCTGTGCTCCACTCTGCCACAGCAGCCTCTTCCTCCTGCAGGTGGCAGCTGGGGTTCAGGGGCTGCTGTTGGAGGGCAGGGGTCTGTGGATCTAAGGCCCTGGCCCTGAAGTCCTGGCAACTGGGGGTTTCTGGCAGGGCTGGGGGGGCATGGGTGGGGTGTGAGGGGCACCAGCAGGGCTGGGGGTGGGGAGTGACGGGTTTGGACCTGTGTCCTGGTGAGCAGAGGGAGCTCTGATTTTTTTTTTTTTTTTTT